TATTTATTTATTTTATTTTATTTATTTTTTATTTATTTTATTTTATTTTTTTTTTATTTTATTTATTTTATTTTATTTTTTTATTTATTTTATTTTTTTTTATAAAAACCTTGTATTAAAACATTTTAAAGAAATATATAAAGTTAATGTATATGGTATTATAGAATTAAAAATATATATAAAATAATAAAGTAATGTCTTGCATATACATAATTATAATATTACTATAAAAATATTTTATAATCTATTTATTTATTATATATATTTTGTATATATTTTTAAATATATAAATACTAATTTTCAAAAATAACTAAATAAATAGAATAGAAATATATATTTTATACCTATAAATTGCTTCTTTCATATATTTATATATGTATATAGTATATATTTATATATTTCATTAAATTTCAAGCTCTAATCAAACTCAAATTGTAACTGTTGAAATGATTTGCCGTAATCAACTCGTGTGACTCGTGACAAATTGCCCAACCCTTAATTACATACTATTTGACTGTGAAAGCACCCTTAGATATGCACGGTATATGCTTATATTATCACGGCTCCGACTGTGCGGCGGATTATGCTAACATTTGGCCAGGCCGTGTAATTTGAATCGCAACATGGAATCCAACACTTCGAGACTTGATTGGCAATGCCTGCTGCATACCTTGTGAAAAACGGTGTATATGGAGTGGGACTGTATGTACATACATACATATATACCATTTCTATAGAGATATGTATGTATGTACATATATATTGTTCCATTCCTAATGATATAATGGACTTTGCGCTCCATGAGTTCGCTTGGGCAACAGTTACGATTTTTTTTCTCTCTTATTTTTAATTTCATTATGCAGCACAAAAGGCGAACTGAATGCATTTGTAGCTGTAAATACATATATACACACTATATATATAACTGATTGTGTACGGAATTTTCAATTTATTTTACGCAACTTGAAAATTGTGTTGAGAAAAACTGAGAATTGTAACAGTGCCAAGGCATTCGCATTCAGTTTGTCTCGGGGGTTGCTGCTGCGGCTGCCTCCCGGTCTATGGCTCTTCCAAAATAAAAAAGAAATATATACAATATATATAAGGGGGAGTGGTTAGACGCCCAGTCGGAAAGGGCGCGACTCTGCGGCGCCATTTCCAAATAAACTTTTGCCCAGTGGCGTAGTCGGAAAATGGAGAAAGTGTGGAAAACTTGATGCGCTGGAAAGCTGAGAACTGATTTTATGAATGGAAATTTTGGTAAGTGTTGATGAAAGTTATGAAAAAGGTTGGCTTAAGGGGATAGTTTAAGTGTTTCTAGGCTTACCTTGATGGGAAGTATCGCCTATAGCTTTAGGTTTATATGAAGAATATTCTATATATGTCTAGATCTCAGTCTGATGGGTCTAGAATATTAATTGTATGTATTATATATACGATTATTATAATATTTATTTAGGGAACATTAGATAGTATATATGTACATGTGCATTTTCATCCTCTCTTCAACTAATATAAAATTTTTTCGATTTGTTGTATTCCATTTCGAAATTAGAGTTTATTCAAGTAGTTCTTGGTTACACCAATCTAAGCAAATATGATTCAAATGATATACAATTTACTTTGCCCATTCCAAATCTATCATAAATATAAGTATGTAATATATACATATTCATATTACCATTAAAATTATCTGAGACAACCACGCAAAGGAAATCGCAATGAATTTAGACTACGCCCATGTGAGAGTATCTGAGCCTGCGACCCCTGCTCCTGCCGCTGCCCATGCCCCTGCTCGTGCCCCAGCCAGCTAACAGGAAGCTCACGTACTCAATGAACATATTATAAAATGCCTTCTATGGCTGTCATATGCTCATGTAACTGGCTGACAGTTACAACACAGACAGAGCAGTGGCAGGGGCAGGACTGGGTCGGGGAGCTAGGGGCTGGGACTGGTGCTGCTGCTGCTGCTGCTGCTGCTGCTGGGGGAGGTGACTCTCATACAATCGTTCGACCATTTGGTTTGCTTTGAATTCAATTTGTGAAGAGTGCTTACGTACGAGCACTATGAAATGATGCTGCCCCTTGCCCTCGTCTGCCTCTCTGCTTCGTCTGCCTCTGCCTCTCTCGTCTGCCCTTTGTCTGTGCTGGCTGAGTTTCGGAAACATGTTGAAAATCACATAATGTGTCATTTAATAATCAAGTACAATGGCACAATGTGCAATGTGCCAGAGGCAGCGAAGCAGAGGGGAGGGCCTGGCTGTGGGGGTGGGTATGGCGCGGCGTCGACAGAGAGGGCGAAGCCAACAATATCGCCATTAGGCATAAATTTATGAGCGAATACGATGCGAGGCAACGGCCATTGGCACAATCATACATATGTATATGTACATACATTTATACATATACATATATACACACACACATACATATGTACATCTATATATCATATACATGTGAAACAGATGATGCTGCTGCTGATGCTTCCTTACCAAACAGCTCTAGTGCTCATATGAGTATATATCTATATATGTGTGTGTGTGTGTATATCTGTATTCCCTCTAGCCTTTACCGTTGAAAACAATGCAACAACAACAATAACAATGGCAGAAAAAAATAAGTTAAATAAACGTTAAATGAAAAATTCAGCTCAATTGAATTCGTTAGCGCGAAATGTCGTTTCTCTCGTTACTGCACAAACCCAGCCCCCTCCCCTCCCCCTGCATCATCGTTATCATCATCATGATAATGTTCATCATTGTGTTGATTATCATCAATGGCTGTCGGTTGTCAACCATTGTTGTTGTTCGTGCTCGTTGTTATTGTTGTAGAACGTGTTGTATGACAGCCATTGGCCAAGGATTGCTTTAAAAGGCATTAAATCTAAGCATTGAGCTAAGCTGAGCTGAGAGACAGAGAGAGAGAGAGGGAGAGAGAGAGAGAGAGCGAGAGAGAGAAAGAGAGACAGAGAGAGAGAGAGAAGGAGAGAGAGAGACGCAGAGACACATAAGATCAAATAAGATGATAAGACCATAAGATCATTGTAAAATGTATATTTACCGCATTTTAAACAAAGAAACAATATGCAAAATTATAAAATAATAATATTTAAATATACAAACATGATTAATAGCACGGAGAGAGAGAGAGAGAGAGACAGAGAGAGAGAGTCAGGGACATATAAGATAAAATAAGATCATTTCATTAGAAAAAGCATATTTACTACATTTTGGACAGAGAAAAAATATAAAAATATGCAAACATACAAAATAGATATGATGATAATATTATTAATTAATCAATTAATTAATATACAAAAAGACAGAGAAAAAATATAAAAATACGCAGAGTTACAAAGTAGATATGATGATAATATTATTAATAAAATATACAAAAATAAAATACTAATCAAAATTATATATTATTAAGAATATTAAAATATGCCCTGTATAATAAAAAACTATTGTTTCTGTATATAAAAAATAAGAAAAGTAATTGTTACTTCCATTAATATTAAGAAAGTTTTTTCTGCCAGATTTAATCCATATTCAAGTTTCTATAAAAATTTCCTTTTATTTTATTTCTTATTTATATACTATAGAGGTAAAGAATGTCTTCAAAAATTTGAATAGATCTTGCATTTTAAAGACTTTAGATGAAATCGAAGTTTATATACTCGTTCATGTAGGTGAAAAGAGTATATTGGTTTTGTGCAATGTACTTCTAGCTGTTTGTCCATCTGTTCATATCAACGCCAAGCTAGAGGCTTGAAATTTAAAGCATATACTTCCTTGGAACACAATTTAAAATTTAAAGCATATACTCCCTGGAACACAATCTTAATTTCTGTAGACCTTTCTACTTCTCATTTGTGGTTCACCTGTTACTTCAATTTTAAGAATTACTCAGCACTACATTCACAGTATGCTGTGATAATTTTTATACCAAACTAAATGTGGACTAATTTATTGATATAAATAAATACTATACTAAATATAGGCACTATATATGTTGTAGAACAATATTAATTATATATTATCTATTTCTATATAACGTTGCTCCAGTTAACCAAGCTTAAGTGAAGCAAATAGCCGCGTTAGCTTTCAGCTGCATGGCAATTTATTGCTGAGTAATTTTATTAGTTATAAGCGAACAGCAGCTAACATCATAACAGAGAGAGAGAGAGAGAGAGAGGGAGGGAGAGAGCTGGGAAATGAGAACAGGCTGCGGAGGAGCCGTGGAACGAGGATGGGTTGAATATACCTGAATGGAATGACGAGCGGAAGTTGAAAATAACCCAATGGAGCAGGTATATATACATGGATATGCATGTATGTATATTTATATGTATGTATGCATATTATTTTGGTACAAAGAAATAAAACAACCGAAAAAATAAGACACTTTTGAAAATGGACGATCATAATGATGATGACGGAGCAGCCGAAGCAGCAGACGATGATATGGCACAAAGTGCGCGAATGCGAATGAATAGATATACAGCTAAAGATACAGCTACGACAGCTACGGCAGCTACGGCAGCTAGGGCAACGGCTACAGATACACAGACAGGCAGAGATACAGAGATACAGATACAGATACATGCGCGCATGCATATGCTGTCAACGCAACGTTGATTATCGGCTACCGTGCGGGGGCGACGGCGGCAGACAAATTGCCATTTACACCACTTACAACGGCAGCAGCAGCAGCGGCAGCGGCGGCAGCGACGACAACGGCGCCGACAAGTGCCAGCTACAGCAACAGCAACAGCAACAGAAACAACAACAGCAACAACAACAGAAACAACAACAGCTACAGCTACAGCTATAGCCACAGTTCTACAGCTAAAGCAATCGCAGCACACTTGTAACTAGAGTTGTCTCGCTCTAACGCAAGTGCGGCAATTGCGCGTTCGGCTTGCGTTTGGCATGGGGCGTGGCCTCGTCTAGGGCACACCCCTTTGCCAATGGCAGACCGTAGCATAGTTACAGTTACATATACACATATACAAACATACGTTTGCGCTGGCTCTTGTTGTTGTTGATGTTCGTAGTCTGTTACAGTTACATTGTTGCACAGCGCAATTGTTGTTGCTGTTGCTGGCGCAGATTTTTGTTTTTTTTTTTTGAGAAGCTGCCGTTGACGTTTTGAATAAATTTTAATTGAATTCGCACAATGAAACTGTTTACTTAACCTGCCACTTTGCAAGATGAGCTTCATTCACACATGCACACATGCACACACACACACACACACGCTCGCATGTAAAGCAACATACTTGATGCATTTACAGCTGAAAAGACCAGCGCATATAGCATATACATATATGCGTGTGTGCCTCTCTCTCTCTCTCTCTCTGTGTGTGCGTGTGTGTTTGCGTAGGTGTTTACGCGTGTGTGCATGTGTGTGCATGTCTGTCTGCTGGTTTAATTACAACAAACGCGCGAGATTTTGTGTTAACACTCGTTAAATATGCAACAGCAAATGAAGCGCGCCTTAAGCTCACATCAGGCTAATGAGTCGCTCAGTGCTGAGCGCTAATTAATAATATTAAATTGTAGAAATATTATGTATGAATGTATGTCTGTATGCATGGACGTACATTTGTATTTGATGTATTTTCTGTGAATACAAATTGTACAAATTGAGTGCAGCAATTTGAGCTTGACCTGACTTTAACAGTTAACTGCTCTTACAACTATTGATGTGTTAGTAAGAAGAGGAGCACGATTGGATATAATAATAATTTTAATAATTGTATTTGATATGAAATGTGTATTATGTTATAAATAATTTAATAAACTTACATAAATCAATTCACATGAGGTAATTGTAAAATTCTACTTCTACTTAAATAAAATAAATAAATTAGACTGACAATAGCACTAAAAAATTTAAAATAACAAAGCAAAAGTGTAGTCTAAATTTTAAGCTATCTTTTAATAAAATTATAAAATATTTTATATTTTTTTTATTATTTTTAGCAGCTTTACAATTAAACTAAAAATGTAATGAAAAATTTCTCAAAATAAAAAAAAAATAAATAAAAAATTGCACAATTATTAATAAATAATATTCTGACAGTTCTTCAAAAATTAAAAAAAAATATTAGTTTTTATATTAAAAAATACAATAGAATAAAAAAATATATGATAGAAATGTTTAAGAAAACAATGAAAAAAAAAAATAAATAAATAAATAAATTTTAGTTTCTATATCAAAAGAATACAATAGAATAGAAAAATATAAAAAATGTTTCTAATAATAAAAATGAAATTAATTATATGCATATATTACAAAAAATTAAATACGAAAAATTAAAATTTTCTATAAAAACAATAAATAATATTTATTTACTTATTTTGTACAACAAATCCGAATTCCAAATAATTATCCGTTAGTTCTATTGATTGACAATCAGTCGATCGTTTTAATGCATGACTGACTGCTTGATTAGCTCACTGACTGACGTGACAGAATGATTAATAAACTCGATAATTAAGTGACTGCAATAATGTTGACTGTTTTATTGATTGACTGACTGACTGATTTATAGACTGACTGACAGATTGATTGATGCTTAGCCTGTGCATTACGTGCTATGGATACTCTATGTGTGAGACGGAATAAATAAAATGATTATGATAATAAAAATAACTAAATATATGAGAAAAATTGTATAATAATTGAATCATATTTATATGTACTATACTTTTTATTTTGATTATATATTATATCTAGTATATGTATGTATGTATTATATGATATATGGAATGATATGATATATAGTTGATGCCCCACATAGCATCTTCCAACCAATTTCATATCACATACCACATCATCAATCCTTTGACCCATTTTCTTCCTATTAACATATACATATATATACATATATGTATATATGTATGTATGCATGCATAGTTTTTTGCCTTTTTTATATTTTCTCAACTTCGTCTCTCGAGTCAAATCCTTTGGCATCGATAATCTATAATAAGCAGTTTCCTTGGCCTTTTGGCCTTTAACTTTTCCGTTACAGCTTTGGCTTTTCCTGTGACATTCGGCTCCCTCGCCTCGCCTCGCCCCGCCTCGCCCACTCCATTGCGCTGCTTCCGTTGGCTTCGAATCACGTGTCAGGTAAAATTGCGGGATGCGCAACACTCCTTCATTAAGTTAATAACAGTTTCTCTTTTTCGACAGAGTACAAAGTGAAATTGTGAAAATCCGTTTCACACACACACACACACACAATTTTTTTTTCTCTGTCCCGGTGGCGCCTTCTTCGTTGCCCTATTCCTTAACATCTAACCACCAACATCCCCACCTCTGCTGCTACTGCCCTCTCCCTCTCCCTCTTCTGGTCGAGCGCTTGCCTTTTGATGCTGCAACGGGTTTTGTTTGGTTTTGAATTTCAGCAGTGAGAGAGATAGAGATAGAGAGAATGAGAGAGCAGGGGAGAGTGGAGGAGTGGAGGCATTGCTTGTCGGATTGTGTTTTACATCTTGATTATCTTCCGCTTGTTTGTGCTATATAAACACTACCCCAAACCACCCACTCACACACACACATAAACCAGGCCAACCCCCGCTGCGAGTGGGCTTTAAATGTAAAATATTTCTATTCAAATCCATTCAAGGATAAGAAGTCAATCAGTCTACAAAGTGCCAAGGATTTTGCACTTTCTCAAATTCAAATACAAATTCTGTTCGAAATGCACAGTGGGAAAAGAGCCTAAAATAATTTGTCAATTATATAAATTTAATAAATGAGCTAATTTATGTTAAATTAAAAATATAACTTTTTTATTGAAATAATTTTAAAGTAGTTATTGAATTCATCCCCTTGAGAAATTTTTAAATATATTGTAGATATAAATATAAAATATATTAATGTTTAATTTAATTTGTAGCACTATTTAAGTATTTATTTTTATTTATTTTGCATATTTTAAATTGATATATTGTATATATAAATATTTAAAATATTAATATTTAGTTTAATTGGTAGCATTATTAAAATATTTATTTGTATTAATTTTGCATATTTTAAATTTATATATTGTAGTTATAAATATAAAAATATTAATATATAATTGAATTTGTGGCATTATTTTATATTTATATATTTATATATAATATTTATTTGTATTTCTTTTGTATATTTTAAGTGTTTTGAGTAATTCTCTAAAACTTGCAGTTTGCAGACTTTTTTCAAAATGTTCCACTGTACCTAGCTCTCTGTTTCATTCCGTTTTGTTGCGCTTGAAACCAACCACAAGCCAAACAGCTGGCATGCCCAGACTTAAACTTAATCCATCAGCCACCCCAAGACGTTCCGCAAAAGGCAACAAGCTTGCAAATTGAAACTGTCAATCCTCCATCTCTGTCGCCATCTCGCCTTGAGCTGCTGCTCCTCCTCCTCCTCTGCAGCTCAGTGGCAAGCGCGAAGGCGTCTGTTGGCACGTGGCGACACGGCAAGGGTCTGGACACAAAGAAACCAAACGGCAGCAGCTGAAACTGGAACTGGAGCTGTGGCTGTGCCTGTCCCGGTGGCTGTGGCTGTAGCTGGAGCATAAACTTCAACACCATCGCCATCACCTATCCATTCTTCAATTACCCTTTCGACTGGGACGCCGGTCACATTATCGTAATCGCATCCTAATTGCGAGAAAATTACGCCCACGTGCGGCCTGTAACCTGATCAGCATCAAAGGAGTCGACACAATGCCGCTCCAGCCGCTCCAGCTACGCCAGCCAAATCGATAAATTTTGATATGGTTATCGTGTGGATGTGAGATGCGGCAGACGCGAATGCATAATTAGCGAAAGGCATCGATAACCAGAACTATATATATATACATATGTGTGTATATGTATGTATATATGTATATGTACGTCTATATATAAAGTTAATATTAGTAAAGATTCTTTTGGAAACTCGTTTCAATGCGACTATCGCTGGTTAGTAGCTCATCGATAATAATCATAGTTTTGAATATGCATCGTATTTATATTTTTTATTTCAGCTTTACATTTACTTGATCTAAGTTGAATTTGAATTTGAATTTTTTCATCGATATTAATCGATATACTTTTTGATCTGTAATTTGTATTGGTCACTGGAAGCACTGTCCAATTACCAAAGATTTGCAAATATGATCAATTATGCATGTAGCAAAAAATAAGTCAAAATAAAAGAAATAGAAATGATACTAAAAACTAGAAACACATTCAACTATTTGTGGAAAACAAAACTACATATACATTATAATAATTACATATAAATTTGCTCTGTTTGGCGACTACTTAAGTTTCCATCGGTTCAGGCTCCTCTTCTTGGAATAGGAAGCGCCAGAGAAATGCGGCCGCAGCAGTGGCAGCCGCATGGGCAGCGAGATACGGCCACAGAATGACCCAAGTGTTGTTGACAACTGCGGCCGCGAAAGTACGGAAGAAATTGAAATGAGCTCCGGTACCCGGGTACTATGAATATTTAAAGAAATTATATATGTATGTAGATTATATGTCAAGGCAAGATGGGAATACGAACAATGGCGAACGATAGTGCTGCGTATACGAATCCGACGCGAAGCGGTAAAGTTTCGTATTTTCCCTCGCTGCGAGTATCCCAAGCAGCACAATAGGCTAATAGCAGAAAGAATGTGGCTAGCAGTTCGATGGCCATAACTGTTACATGGGAGAGCGTGGGCGGTAGACATATGTTGTTTCTGGTCTCATCGACGGCGGCGTAGGTCAGTGCAATGCCAGCCAAGGCGCCCAAGAGCTGGGCGAGCATATAGCAAAGCATCAATCGCCACTCCATAATGCCAACAATTGTTGCAGCACCGCTGACAGCGGGATTCAGATGTGCGCCGCTCAGTATGGCAAAAATCTGTGTAGCCGTCAAATAGGCCAGGCCCCAGACCAAGGGATTCATTATGCTTTCTCCATAGCCTCTTCCAAATGATCTAGTTGACATGCAGCAGCCAAGTGTCACAACAATTGCCACTCCAGTAAATTCGGCCATTAGCTTTTTGGCCAGTTCTTTATCCCAAGCGAAATTTCCCATTACTTTAATTTGAACAAAAATAGACAAACGAAAACAAAGCGAAACGAAAAATAGAAATAATAAATATTGTCGAGATCCAACTACACTGAACAAATAAATTTAACTGTGCTTTCTCACATTTTCGCCGAACGTAAGTAAACAACTGGCCTACTTTACCTAGTCACAATTTTTACCAAGTTACGATAAATAAAAAAATTTAAGTCATTTAGTCAGTGCAAAAAAAGAAGGATTTTGTCTCAGCTAAACGTGATTTGACTTCCGTTTGGCGGCAACTTCCACTAACAGTGCCAAATGAGTAACTTCCGAGAAAGAAGCCGATATCGCCAGTAATTTTATCGAATTTGAATTTACATTCCATTGGCGGTAAATATTTTTGTTGTTGTTTTTTTTGTTTGTTTTTGAATTCATTTATTCTGTCTACGACTCTATAGCGCAGTCATCGTTAAACCTTAACCTAAATTATGAGCTAGAAGCCAGTATTTACACTATTTACATTATTTACTATTTATAAATATTTACA